TTGCTGGCCGGCTCATGTAAACCACCTTATATTATTTTTTTTTCTAAAAATACTCCAAAGCAATTGAAAGAGTCCCTTCTCCCACCAGCCAGCCCTGGCCCCAGCCCCGGCCCTGGGGAGCGGGTGGGTAGGCGGAGAGGTGGGCCACTGCTTTATTAAACACAGGGAAAACTAATATTTACGGAATAAAATTTATGGAGCGGCCACGAGAATTCGACCCTTTTATGTGCATGCAGAGTGGGGGCTGGGCCAGGCTAGGTGCCTCTGGGCGGGGCCCCAGCCAGGGGGCAGAGTTGGAATACAGCCTGGCTAGGCCAATTTGTCAAGGCAGGGATTTCCCTGATGGTGCCCTGGGCTGAAAGATTCCCAGCACCCACCCTTTGCTGCAGGACTAGAACGCTCCAGGCTGGGCCTCTGGGAAGCCATGCTACTCAACCAAAGCGTTTGGGAATGAAGGAGAGAGTCTTGGGTGTGTAAAAGCCATTGCTGCCCAGTTGATCCTAACTCACGTGACCCTGCAGGGCAGGGCAGAAAGCCTCACAGGTTTCTAAGGCTGTGTGTCTTTTCTCCACCAGTGGAGCGGCTGGTGGAGTCAAACTGGCAGCTCTTCAGTTAGCCACCGAGGACTTAACCTCGGCCCCACTAGGGCTCCTGTCACAGTCTTAACATGAAAGAAAAACAGCAGCAGCTCTGCTCTCCTGAAGGCCCTTAGGATGGGGTGGGGGTGGGGGCTTCCTGGCCTCCCTATGGTGAGAACGCCTTCATGGGGCCCAGCCGAGCGAGTCTACAGGGTGAAGATCCGATTCTTCCCAAGCCTGGTGCAGAAGTCGCTCGACTCCACGTGGTCTCAGGCCCCGTAAACATGGAGATCAGGCTAACTTCTTCCAATAGCGCTGTCTTTCCCTAGTTCACCTTGGTGATGTGACTATCCAGGGGGGGGCACCCTGGGTCCTGGGGTCAAGAGAGTCAGCAGCAGTGATGGGGAGGAGTCCTGATGGAGCTCTGACAACCGGCAGGTAGCAGCATGGGGGTCATCTCTGGTCCCCACAAGGCTCCCTGCTCTGAACTGAGCATCCTACCAACAGGAGGCAGGTCACTGGAAGTGGACACAGCGAAGCAGACGCGAACATCCTTCCTGGGAGATTCCAGCGCAGGGCAGAGTAATGCAGTTCAGAACGCGGCTGTCCCTTATTAGCCTGTGTAACCTTGGATAAGTCGCTAATCGCTTCAACACTCAATATGCGAGTGGGGTTCTACCTCGTTCAGATAATAGTGTGAGGCTATCATGCCAGATGCTTATTAGAATACCAGGTATACATTGGCTGCTCAATAAACATGGGCTGTTTATTATTACTGTGGTTCTTGTTCTAGGCTTTCCTGCTACAGTAATGCTTGCTTAGTCCTTGCCTCTGAGACCTGACATTAGGACAGATACCAATTCTGAGTTTGCTGCAAGCTGACTCTGACTCGTGGTAACCATGTAACCGTGTGTGTTGGCGTAGCTCTGTGCTCCACCTGGTTTTCAGCAGCTATGATCCTTCAGAGGATCACCAGGCCTTTCTTCCCAGGCACCTTGGGGAGGACCCAGGTCATTCACCTTCCAGTAGGTTCAGCGCGCTGCCCAGCTAGAGGAGACAGGTGGCTGAGGAGGCGTTTGACCACCCCAAGAGCAAGTAAACATTCATGTCTTCTGCTCCCGACCCTTCCCCTCTGGTAACAGCTCCCAAAGAACATCGGAGTTTCCTCTCTGCCCTCTTTCTTTTCATTCCCTTGTGGGGTAGAGTTTCGGTTGTTCTTACCTAAGGGAAAACCTAGCAGAGAAGGCCCAGGAACTTGGCTGACATGGATCTGCCAAACCTTGTTTTTATTTTCTGAAATGTTGACTTTCTAACTGTTGGAGACACTGTCTTGCTCCTGCAGCCTTCATAGTTTCTCCTGCTCGGCACTATTAGTGGCTTAGGCCCATTGTGTCACCCCAGAGAACTCTGACCATTTCCTGTCTTCCTGTCTTTCCTAGATAGCTCTTTTGGTTACTGTTATTTGAAGTGGAGTGGAAGACGGCAAAGTCAAATTCCTATTCTCCAACCTTAGTAAAAATACCTGGACTGTAGTGGCTGAAGCGCTTTATAATTTCAGTACCATGTTGTGGTTTAAACTGTTGTCTATGCCCTGGAAACAGACAGGAAAACACATCAGATTGGTTCTGCCTAATGCCTACTGCTCTATGTCAAAGGTCCCAAATGGAGGTTCAGCTCAGGCCACAGCAAAGAAGCATCAAGAGAATTGAAAGAGTTGTATTGACGGTGTAGACTTTATCCAGAGACAACAACGGGGTAGGGCCCAGAAAAGGGAGGTAGGTTATGAGTTCAACAGAATGAATCACTCGAAAGCAGGGGGTTGTGAGTACGTTTTATTTCCTCCCAGAAGGAGAAGAAATGGGTCTCTGCGGAACACCTCGAACTGGCTAGGAACTCTGGGAGAAGGTAGACAAGGTATCCTGAGCTTGTGTGTGCCTTGTTGCTGACAGAGTTAGCTGACAGACTCCAAGTCCATGGTAGGATCCTGGATCCAGAGAATCTCCATGAAGACAGAGAAGGGTATGGGATTCCAACCGGCTGGCTTCCATTCAGTGTGCAAGGAGCTGGAGTCAGGATTCCCTTGGCTAACTGTCCCCTCTTAGGTGACTCCCCACCAGGAACTTGGTCATCTTGCCCTACAGTGGTGCCCTCTGTCACAGCGATGCTACTTCCACACAAGCTCCTTCCAAGGGGATCCTAGGAAGTCATTCTCCAAGTCCATCCTCAGCAATGAGACAGTGTCAGGTTAATTGAAGAGCCCCGTTGGCTTCTTCCTCTTGGCCTTTGACAGCCGAGGTCTTGGCATTGAGCCTGAAGCACCCTAGAAGAAAAAATAACTGGTGTTAACAGGGTTTGGATACGGCTCCACTGAAGTTAGGAGAGCAGCGCCCTTCTTCCCATGGCCCCTAGTTAGGATGAGGTCCTCTTGAAGAGGTCACCACACAGATAGTTCAGAGTCTGTTTCAGGCGGTGCCTTGGACACAGACAGGAAAACATACTTGGACACTCTATGCAGGAGGCTACATACCTCCTTTCTCTCCTGGGAAACAACCTTACAGAGCATCACCGGCAGTGGGAAAAGGTGGGAAAGGCGCCAAGATTCACCATTTGGTACAAGAACTGTAGAGAGGAAGTACCCAGGGAAGTTGTGAAAAAACACAATTTTCCATCTCTACATCCACCGTCTGGAAGCTTGGTCACAAAACAGCCATCAATATTGTTGAGGCAAAGTCACTAGGTCACGATTCCAGGGCTCGGTGGCTCAGAGGCTACAAAAGGTGCAGCCTCCTCCACCTCTTAGAATGTCATTCGGGAAGCTGTTCAGAACTCACTGTGGTCTCTGTCTCAGGTACCGAGAGGCATGGTGCTGAGACTGGCTCTTCTGGATGGTTCGGAAGGTGGCTATCAGCTCCTTGTGGGGAGGTACTGCTTGAGGTGTGAGGGTCTCCTGAAATCAGAAAAAATCGAGGGAAGGTAGCAATAAAGGTCTTCTTCTTCTTGCTAAGATGACATTAGCATTTAGCAAGTATTCTGCTAAAGGCTAGAGCTTGGTACTAATACAAGGGAGCTTCAACAAATTTGTGTAAAGATGGAATTAAAAGAAAGGAATTGTGGCATCTTAAATGCTCATGGGCAGCCATCCAAGGTGCAATCATTGGTCTCTCCCCCTCCACAGGAAAGAAAAGAGATGGGAATCCAAAGACCCATGGAAACAATTGGTCTAGTGGACTAATGGGCCATGCAAACAACCCTGAGACCAGAAGAACTAGATAGTGCCCGGCTTTTACTATCATCTACTCTGAAAACAATCTCATTAGAAGGTCCTGGATAGAATGGTAGAAATGTGGAACAAAACTCCAGATCATAAGACCAGGCTTATTAGTTGGATAGAGACTGAAAGAACCTCCACCCCCCAACTCCCCAAGATGATGGCCCTTAGTCACCTCTCAGTTCTAGAATTGTATTCACTCCCAATTTAGAGAAGACAACCATTTATGGTCAAAAGGGTGGCATTTACCCAAGGACCAAGTTCGGAGGGTTGGGAAAGGAGGAGAAATGAAAACAGGAAACGCAAGGAGGAAGGGGATAAGCTTTGGTCCTTGAGGCAATTGCGATGGGTAAGTTGAAATAAAATGTGAATCGTTGAGTGGAAAACCGATGATCTGCTCTGTCAACCTTTGTCTAATTAATAATAATAAAAAGGTAATGGAATTTTCCCAAGAATTTTTGGGAGCCCCTAAGTATATAAACAGATAGAAGCACTCACAATGTCCAACTTCCAGCTGACTTGCTCAAAGTCTTGTTCTGACTATGAGATTCTCTAGTGGTACCTTCACGAGGAAGAACAGCTCCCTTGGCTCAGAGTAGCTACCTGTCCTTCTGCACATCCTCCGACATGCCTCAGGAAGAAGGATGGTCAGTTTCTTCTGCTTCTCTGCCGAGACCTCCTAAACGCATGGACCAGTGCTTCCTACTAGAACTTTCTGCATGATGGAAATGTTTTGTATCCACACTGCCAGTTCAGTAGCCACTAGCTGCATTTGGCTACTAAGCACTTAAAATGTGGTTGATACAAATGAGGAACAATGTATTCAATTTTATTAATTTAATTTTAACTAAGCACATAGCTAGACCTACCATATTGAATGGTGCAGACCGGGACTCTAATTCTCTGCATCTACTCACCAGTGCCTTGATGCTTCCGCTCCATTTGGATCTCTTGCTTGGTGACTGCCACATACAGACTCTGCAGGTTTGTGACAAAAGGCCTTCCATTGCCAACACTGCATGCCTCTGGTAGTTTCTACAGAGAAGAGCGCTTGTCAGTGGTCATACTTGATTGTCAGAGAGAAGGGACCCGAGTTCCACTGGCAGAACACCGACCACAAAAGAATGTATATAACGAAGTTGCCTCGTGCCACTGAGTTGATTCCAACGCATAGCGACCCTATAGGATAAGGAGACTCTCCAAGATAGGTTTTCCAAGCTACAGTTTTCATGTGAGCAAATTGCTGGGTCTTTTCTCCCATGGAAGGGCCAGTTCTCAGCCAAGTTCTCAGCCATGGTGTCACCAAGCTCCTCATAAAGAATTAGGATCCAATATAGGGTATCTAGATCTAAATCCATGTGGACCAATAATATCAACACCTCCTGACCTGTGTGTGCAAAAAATGCATTTGGTAAAATCTAATGCCCTTTCTTGATTAACCCCATGGAAGACTGGAGTAGGAGAGGGATATCTCCATATGATTCAGAGGGTATATGAAGAGCCAACAAGCAACATTATAATTATCTGAGAAAGAGAGAAAGCTTTCTCCTTGAAATCTAGACTAAGACAAGGGTGTCCACCCTTACCACTCCTATTTAATATTGTATTAGAAGTCTTAACCTAAGCAATAAGACAAGAACAGGAAAGGAAAGGAATTCAGAATGGAAAAGAAGTAAAATGATCTCTATTCATGGATGATATGATCCTACATACAGAACATCCCAATGAGTCTACAAGAAAACTTCTAGAGCTAACAGGCAAATTTAATAAAGCTGCAGGGTACAAGATTTAGCAAAACTCAGTCGGGTCTCCATACAACAGCAATGAGAAATCTGAAAGGGAAATGAGGGAAACTATTCCACTGACAATTGCATCTAAGGAAATAAAATACCTGGGAGTAAATCTAACCAGGAAAATGAAGGACTTGAAGAAACTATAAATGCTGCTGAGTGATATTAAACAAGACTTAAATGGGAAATATTGGAAAGATGTTCATATCATGGATTGGAGGGCTTAATATTGAATATGTCAATACTATCCAAAATCATCTATTGATGCAACACGATCCCATTCAGAATTTCAATAGTCACCATTGCAGAAACTGAAAAACCGATTCTCAACTTTATGTTAAACACTGAGGCCCAGAACAGCTACAGGAATGCAGAAATTGATGAGCAAAGTAGGAAGACCCACACTTCCTGATTTTGAAATGCATTATATAGCTGTGTTATTAACACAAGCTGGTCCTGGTATAAAAGACACACCAATGGAATAGACTTGAGAATCCAGAAATAAACATTTTTGTCAACTGACTGTAGACAAGGGTATTGAGTTCAGTCAATGAGGAAAGAAGTGTATCTTCAATAAATGATGCTGGAAAACAGGTTTTCAATACAGAAAAATGAAACAGGATCCATGCTGCATCACATATACAAAAAAAATTCTAAATGGACAAAGGACCTAACAATGCAAACTAAAGCCATATTCTTCTTAGAAGCAAAGCAGAGACAGTGCTGCCAAAGCTACCTTTCAACAATGAAGTGCCCAACAGGCTAACAAAAGCACACACAAAAGCAAGAGACTAAATAAATGGGGCCTCATAATAATCAATACTTAGGAGTACCAAAAACTTCACCCCAAAAGTGGAAGGACAAGCTATTGATGAGGAGAGTATCTTCAGAAACCACACATGTAACAAAAACCTGACAACCAAACTATTTCTAAAACTCCAACAACAACCGAAAGAAATAATCCGATCATAACCGGGCAAAGGACCTTATAGACCGAACACCAAAGAAGACATTCAGATGGCCAACTAACACACGGAGTTATGCTCAGTGTTACTAGCCTCCGGAGACGCGGCGCTTCCGTCAGATCCCGTCTCACTCCCACGAAGATGCCTGAGACTAAATCAAGGACAACCCACAGAGGTGAGGATGTGGGTGAACTGGGAGCCCTGATCCTGTCCTAATGGAGGGTCAATGGTCCAGCTCCTCAGGAACATGGTGCAGTGACTCCTCAAACCTAAAACGGCAGCCCATGGCCCAGAAATATCACTCCTAAGTGTGTGCCCCAAAGTCCTAAAATCAGAGAATCAGCTTGTACACGCATGTCCATTGTAGCACTGTTCCCAACGGGCAAAAGGGGGAAACAGCCTAAATGTCCTCAACAGACGAACTGATCAACAATGGATGTGTGTACCATTCATTCTTTTACCACTGAGCCAGTATGAGAAATGAAGTCAATATACGCTACAGTCTGGATGGAGCTGCTTAGTATATTAAGCCAATTAAGCCAATCACAAACGGACAAATAGTGTCTGATCTCACTTACATAAAAAGACAAGAAGCGTGGCCATGAGGAGATGTTGGTTTTATGGGTAAAACGGATCACAAATTGTGTGGTACAATGGTGGGTTCTGTTTTTGTTGCACCACCACGTGAAGGGTCGTGTGGCAGCAGTGACAAGAATGCACACTCTTTGTGGGATGGCTGACGGAGGCCGAGGCCGCAGGACTGAACACCTGGAGAAAAGGAACGCGTGGGCAGTTTCGGACAACACTCCGAAGTGAAGAACTAGAGTGCATTCTTCTGGAAGCCGAAAACTAGATGTCCCACGAACGGGTCTGTTCACTGATTATTTTGCTCTTTGAATGAAAAAAGACACCCCCTTCCCAGCAATGTGTAGTTACTCTGTTGCCCTTTGTGGGGAACAAAAAAAAAAGCAGATGTATAAACATCACCGTTTTCAGTGAGCAGCAGGGTAGGAAGGGTGGAGAGAGTTAATGGTGATGGAGCTGGAATTAATTAAGGGTAGGGTTGAAAAACTGATTCTTGTAATTAACTGTTAATAAGTTGTACACTTTTAAAAATTCGAATTGGCAAAGGGCTGTGATACATTTATAACATTTACAACAACAACAACAACAACAAAAGATTAGTTGTTGAGGCTGTTTATGTACAACCACCTGATCATGAAATTTTGTTATTTGGTTTGAAGGTTTTGCGTCAGGCTGTCCTGGGACAGCCTAATTCATTGGCCCGGTAGCATGTTCAGTGCTGTGGCTCTGCCTCTGAGTGCCATGCACTGTGTCTGAGATCTTAAAACCTCAAAAGCAGCCATCCTAGAGTTGGGCTCTAGTTGCCTGGAACAACAGAGGGAGGAGGAAAGTCGGGGAGAGAGTGAGGAGGACATGAAGGCTAATTGCCTTCCTGAACAATTGCCTCCTTTGCCACGAGACTGGATGGTACCTGGCGATTGTTATCAAACATCTTGCTGAAGTAGTCTATAGAAGAATCTTGATCAAAAGGGGGAAAATGCAGAATAGAATTTCAAATTCGCATGGAATCCAGACTTCCTGGAGCCATGAAGGTTGGGTAAGCCCTAGAAACTATTTCCCTGAAGTCTTCTTCAAAACCAATCATCTAACTTAACTAGTGAAGAATGTCTGCCTTGGGCATTCTGCTCTTTTGAGAACTATCTGTATGGGATCAAATCGGTAACAGCAACTTGAAAGAAGAAATAGCTTTAGAGGGCAGCGAATTTATGGTAACAGTGGAGGAACTCAGAAAAGAGGATGAGTATGGTGACACAATTCAAAGATAATCAGTGTCACTAGCTGGTCCCGTAGGTAGCGGATCTGCATTTATATACAGTATGAATATAAAAGGAAGACAGAAACAAGCTCCCTAAAGGGATCAGAAAAAATAAGCCAAAAGGGGTCAGTTAGTCCAAATTGGAACCCTCATAAACCAAGAGGTCGCAACCTTCACCCGACTTGATCCTTTTCCCGTAGCTCCTGGCTCCTTGGCATCACACAGCTCAGAGAGTGCTCAGGCAGAGAGGCGGAGAGGCCTGAGGTTGGGAAGGAGAAACATTAGTTCTCTGGGCAGGACAATGGTAGAAGCTTGCTGGGGCAGGCGGCAGAGATCAAAGGGAAAATGCTGGAATCAGGACTAAGAAAAGCAAATAGCAGTGATCCTTGCTGTAAGTACAACTGAGCCAGGAGCAAAATGTACCTGCCACAAAGCGGGTCACTGCCCAGGGTGGGGAGGGAAAGAAGAGTTAGGTCATTCTATGGGAGAATGTGTTCATTTGAGTAACTCAGAGTCAATGTATTCAGCCAAAAAGTTAGTGAGATTCTACTATGTACCGGGTATCATATGGCTGATTGGTGGTAGGATGTGAGGGAGGGTATTTGAAATTTATCAATTCTTCCCTTCTCATAGCGGAACTGAGAGAATAAAAAGATAAATAAGACTATGCCCCTGCCTTAAGTAGTCTGCATTCACATAAGGAGATGCGCACGCATGTGTGTAGAGAGAGGCAATACATATATAGTAAAATCTGCAAAAGCCAGAACCTGTGTGAGACAGAAATCTGTCAGAAGGAAAACTCAAATAGTTCCCCCAATAGAGTGAAATAGAAGCGTGGTAGGACTGCCCTCTGGGAAAGGCAGACACCGTGCGAGACTCAGAACAACCCCTCGAGACCATCAAGGCGTACATTCGAAACAACGTGTATACTTTTTAAGCAAAATGGAAGAATAGAGTTATAAAGAAAGGGTACCGGGAACCAAGAGAAGAAAGAAGGGCTGCTTTGTGAGTGAGGCTACTCGGAGAGCTTCAGTGGGCATGTACACAATAATTCACAGAAAATGGTCTTGCAAAGCTAAAGTCCCAGTCACCAGATTGCAAAGGATGTGGTTTTCTGAATTGAGGATAAGCCCAATGGGAATTTCCTGGTGTTTCATAAAACTCACTCAGGCATTTTACTTCCCCTTCATCCCTGGTGCATCCCATCTCACTTCCTAGGAGACAAGCTCCCTCTTTAGTGGAAACTTCCAACGCCATGAAAGCTTCCACTCACTCACAGTGGTCCAGAAATGCTAAGGCTCCCTCCTACTTTATTACCCTAACAGAATCTACTGGGGAGAGCCAGTTATTGCTTTTAACTAGAAATAAGTGGTCTGTCCTCTCGTCTTACCCTTCTTCACCTGAGATTGTTTCAGAAATGTTCAGAAACCTGTGTTAAAA